ATATATATTAATAATAATAATAATAATAATAATAATAATAATAATATAAATAATAATAATAGTAATAAAATTCACAATTTAGGAACTTTCGTCACACTTTGCCCGCTCGGAAATTGGCTGATAGCCGCCATCTTGTTGGACCGTCGGATAGTTGTTAGGGTTACTGATCAGTCTCACAGTCCTTCTGTGAAACCAATCAATGTAACCCTCCTCAGGCTCTAGGAACTGATCCACCGGTTGATGTGGGAAGACATTTTGATCTTTATGTTCGACCCAAGTCTTCCCAAGCTCCGAATGAAAGGCGGCCCAATCTAAATATGCCCTCCCAGTCATTCTCTGGCCTCGGTGGAGTGTGTCCCATTGGGTCACATCCCTAATGATCGGAGCTGGGGGATGGACTAGCGACATCCAAATTGAAGGAGGACCCTATCAGGCTCGTGGGGCTCACAGATGTTCCAGCAGAAGATGGGCCCCTTGTACATCCAAACATGTTGATCTTCTGTACACTGGTCCGGGAGAGTAGACGAATCCTCGAGGAACTGGACATAAGGCATCCAATCGAACTGAACAAAAAAAGAAAAAAAAATTGAATTAAGAATTACTAAAAATTATGTTAGCAAAAATTTCAAACAATAAAAAACAAAAGATAAGTTAATATATAGAACTTAAGAATCTTACATTCGTCTCTCTCAGCCACGTCAGCTGATCCCGGAAAGCGGCCGTTCCCTTGGCTAGGTGCATCATGTTCTTTCTTCCCACCTACCTTAAAAATCACAGAAAAATAACTTTGTAATTAGAAAAATTAATAATGAAAAAACTTAATATTTAATATAAGTAAATGTTCATACCTTGCTCCTAAGGGACAACCACATACAGAATCAAAGCGCGTGGACTTCATTGTTGGGCGAATGCGAGGGATGCGTTCCCATGCCCAAACCTACACATATCGACGTATGCATTTTTTGTATTAGATATTAGTCAGAATAAAAAAAATGAATTTTTAAATAACAACTAAATAAATGTACCTGAAGAAATTGCACACAGCCCTTCATCCAGCCTTGCCCGGCCTCGAAGGATGTGCACAACGCTCTATACAATTCGGCGAGCTGCACCCCAGTTGTACCCCTTAATTTGATCAATGTCGTGCAGCATATCCAACCAGTACAGGTTGACTTCGTTCGCCCGCTGGTCAGGGAAGAAGAACGAGCCTATGCACCAGAGTATAAGGGTCCTCGCCCTTTGTTCGTAGACCTCGGTGTCTTCTCCATCTGAAAGCTGTCGTTTGCATTCATTCTCTAATGGGCCGACATTCAAGAATTGGCCTTTAATGGGCCAAGTCTTGGGGTCGTACGTCGGGTCACCTTTATCCCGGAATTGGTTTAAAAAAAATAAAAAAATAAAAAACTAAAAACGAGCAAATTAGAGATAAAAAATAATAATTAAATATAATTAAATAGTTTCATATTTCTTAAAGATAGAAAATAATACATTTATGCATAAAATAAAATACTTGAAATTTTAATAAACGAGAAATGAGTGTCTCTATAAATATAAAATATAATCACAATGCAATAAAACTTGTATTTTTTTTATTGAATTCGAATAAAATATATGAAATTGTAAATACTATTTGAGATAGAATATATACTTGGACATTGGGCCGAAACCCTAGCACATCAATACACAAGTCCCGCCATTGTTGGGGAGTCGTATCCGTAGTCCTTCCCCAACAAGCTTGTCCATTGACCGGGAGGCCAAATAGGACTTAAACGTCTTGCAGCGTTATTGTGGCCTCCCCGCAATCGAAGTGGAAGGTATGCGTCTCGGGACGCCACCTTTCACCAGGCAGGTGATGAGGCTATTGTCCGTTGTTACCCGGCCCATCCGAAACACCGGGCCAAAACCTGCCCTGTCGATTTGCTCACAGACTTTATCATGTTGGTTCTCCAATGCGTGCCAGAACTCACTGTCGTTACGGCGGTTTGTAATACTGTCGTTACGATAACCTTGTTCATCTTCATATACCGCCTTGGCCCGGTGGCGGCTCTGCAGATACAGAAGCGAGCCGTCAATCGGACCGGGTTGTACATTGTACCGGCGAGCCTGTGAGGATGAAGAAGAGGCCATTTTCTACATTTAAAAAAAAAAAAAAACGTCATTACATATGTAACAAAGCAAATTTGAAAAAAAAAAATATATAAGAAATCATATAACTTCAAATAAAAAACCATTTAATTTCACATCATGCATTTTCACTCGGTTATCCACTATAGACACATAAAAAATACAACATAGACACATAATTCGAACAATCCTAATTCGAACAAGCCCCTAATTCTAACAAACACTAATTCAAAAAATCCTAATTCGAAGCCTTAATTCGAACAATTATAATTAAATCGAACAATCCTAATTGAAA